CATCCCTCCCTCCATCCCCGCCCCCTCCCGCCGCTGTCCCCGCTCGAATTTCGGGGCATTGGTGTCTATTTTTAGGGATGACGATGTCCCATCCCATGGGGACGGTGTCCCCCCCCGCACCCCCCCAGCTCGCCCACGGCTGGGACTGGGCTCTGGGGGGGGAGGGGGTGTTGGGGGCCGCAGTGGGGTCCCCTCGGTGCCACTCGGGTGGCGCTGGGACACAGAGCTCTAAAAACCCCTCGGTGCTCGTGGGGCTGCTGCGGGAATTCCGGGGGGCGTCCCTGTCCCCCCCAGGCGGGGGGGACGCGAGGGTCTCTGTGAGGGGGGGGAGGTCAGGCTGAGAATCGAAGGGTCCCTGCGCCAGGCACCCCCCACCCCATCCCTCATCACCCGAGACCCCAGCCCCACACGGTCCTCCATCACCCGAGACCCCAGCCCCACACGGTCCCCCATCACCCGAGACCCCAGCCCCACACGGTCCCCCATCACCTGCCACCCCCGTCCCTTATCACGCACCCCTCGCCCCCCTCGCGCTCCTCAGGACACCCGTGGGGTCCCCACGGACGGGCCGGCAGTACCGGGGTTCGGGCAGGGCCACTCCCCAGCCCCGTGTGACCCGTCTGGGGGGGCGTGGGGGATTTCCCTTGGGCCGTGTGGGGTGTCCGAAACCCACAGGGGTCCGTGTCCGTGGTTCCGTGTCCGTGGGTTCGGTGTCCGTGGTTCGGTGTCCGTGGTTCCGTGTCCGTGGTTCGGTGACCGTGGTTCGGTGTCCGTGGTTCCGTGTCCGCGGTTCGGTGACCGTGGGTTCCGTGTCCGTGGTTCCGTGTCCGCGGTTCGGTGACCGTGGGTTCGGTGTCCGTGTTTCGGTGTCCGTGGTTCCGTGTCCGTGGTTCGGTGTCCGTGGTTCGGTGTCCGTGGGTTCGGTGTCCGTGGTTCCGTGTCCGTGGTTCGGTGTCCGTGGTTCCGTGTCCGTGGTGCCGTGTCCGTGGTTCCGTGTCCGTGTTTCGGTGTCCGTGGTTCCGTGTCCGTGTTTCGGTGTCCGTGGTTCCGTGTCCGTGTTTCGGTGTCCGTGGGTTCGGTGTCCGTGGGTTCGGTGTCCGTGGGTTCGGTGTCCGTGGTTCGGTGTCCGTGGGTTCCGTGTCCGTGGGTTCGGTGTCCGTGGGTTCGGTGTCCGTGGTTCCGTGGGTCGCGGCGCGGGTCGGGGCGGTGTCCGGCGGTTCCTTTAAAGGGCTGGGCGGGGGCACGTCCCGTCCCCTGTCCCGTCCCCTGTCCCGTCCCCTGTCCCGTCCCCGGTCCCGTCCCGTGCCCCTGCCCAGCCGCGGGGCCGCCGGACGCTCCGGACACTCCGGACCCGCCGGACCCGCCGGACCCCGGCCCCGGCCCCCGCCCTCGCCCCCCAAAACCTCGGTGTGCCGCCATGGCCGCCGCCGGTGCCCCTCCCGCGCCCGAGGAGCAGGACTTCATCCAGGCCTACGAGGACGTGCGGGAGCGCTACAAGGGTACGGGACCCCCGGGCCAGGCGGGGGGCGCGGGGGGCGCGGGGGGCGCGGGCCGCGGGGGGGTCGCGGGGGAGCGCGGCCGCTCATTCCCATAATTGGGCACGACCGGCACCGCCAGCCCCGGCACGGCCGGGGGGGCCGGGCTGGGGGGGCCGGGGGACACGGCCGGCACCGCGGACCCCGCCGAGCCCCCCCGGGAACCCCCCGGGAGCCCCCCGGGAGCCCCCCGGGAGCCCCCCGGGCCGCCGCTCTCAGCGGGGCTCGGTGCTCGGGGAAGGGTGGGGGGCCGTGCCCGCGCCCCCCGGAGCGACCGGCGGGATCGGTGCTGGGGCAGGGGGGGTCCCTCCGAGTGCCCTGGGGACAGAGCTGCTGCCGGGGGACCGGGGGCGACCCGGAGGGGGCACGGGCGGCGGGGGGCGGCGGAGCTCCGGTGCTCGGCCGTGGCATCGGTGACACGGGTGACACGGGTGACACCGGTGGTATCTCGGGCTCCGAGCCGAGATGGGGCGGAGGCCGGTGCTCCCCGCAGTGCCCCCGGTGCTC